TTTCAGATTTCTCATTCCGAGGGGATATCTATTACACCACCCACTCACATAGCAGTCTTATATCATGCATATAGCAGTCCTATTCAATCATGCATGAATTAATTCTCAACCATATTTTCAATGCATTTTTATATTACTTTTACAATTTTTCTCAGCATCCTCCTGTAGAACCATATTTTTCTTCCCTCCAGTTTTCTCTTCAATTGCGAGGATATAGCCGCCTTAACGCAGAGCCATTCACGTTCGGTTCTCTGTTTCTTAATACTTTGCTTAGCTTTTGGAAGGCATCTTTCGCTGTTCTAACGTATCTTCGGATTTCAGTGTCACATTTTCCATCGTTTGTTCAAACACTTGTCAGATATTCAAACTTCTGTAATTGCTTGATTTTGACACCCCGATTTCATAGTTTGAACGGCGGGTTTCGCATATAGTCGGCGCTGAAATGACTTCATCTATTCATAATATCTGTATTTCGTTTCATCTAATTTCATTGCTTTTCTTTTTTTAACTGAGATAATTCCAGTCATTTATATATATATATATATATATATATATATATATATATATATATATATGTGTGTGTGTGTGTGTGTGTGTGTGTGTGTGTGTGAGTGCGCGTGCGCAAATATATAGAAAAATAGGAAAGAACACGTTAGGTAAATAATCCGAAGTTCTTTAGTATTTTTGTTTTTATTTTTAAAAAACAGTGCTCAATACAAAAGTAGAGCCTAAATTATAATTATTTTTTTAAAAATCTGATTCTTTCGCTACATAAGAGTTCTCATGTTTCAAAAACAAAAAATCTTCAGACACTTAACGGTGTACAATGGTGCCAATAACTATCTGTCGCTAAGACGGATTAGACAATGTGCGTATAGGAATGTCATTCGCTTTGAAATGGACAACTCAGCCGAGCCTTGTCTTGGCCTCTTTCCGAGTCTGACTGATATGTTGATACAAATTGTTAACCCTTACGCCCCCTATTGAACCGGTCGCTTCAGCCGTTTCCATACTAACTAATTAACGAATGAATGTGCTTATAAAGATGCGTAAACTTCAAGATTAGTTATTCAAAAAAATTCGCTTGTGGATGAAACAGATCTTTTGGCTCTTGTTTTTGAAACATGAAAACTTTTATGTAGCGAAAGAATCATATTTAAAAAAATAATAATTATAATTATAATATAGCGTGAGATCGATGAATTGTCGCCTAAATAACGCAAAAAGGAAAATAGCACTGACATCTCATTTGAACATTTTGAATATTTATCAAAATTACACTAAATAACTCGAAATACTATAGAGTAAATTTATTCAAGAAAATCGCCATCGGGTTCAATCGAAGGCTCCATGCAACATATCCTCCTGCAACACTTCTGGACGGTCTCTTTGTTTAATTTGGTAAATGAAAACTTACACTGAAAGAGACACAAAAAGGACACTTACACTCAGATTCAGAAAGGGACAGGTCTGGAGAATTTGACATTCAGTGATCCTATCGTAGGAATAAGCGAAGGCTTGTGTGAATAGACGGTGAGAATGGTGGCTGTGAGGCTTGTCAAAGGGACAAATATTATGAAGAGCTATAGGAGATTGGCGGTAATGGAGAGCCATTGTCGTGTATGTCCTGAAGGGACACAATTCAATTTTCTTCGATTTGTCTGCAGACATTAGTCCATGTCTGGGTGGAAAAAAAATTAAGGATACACGTGGAATTAGATAATCTTTTCTTTTTTTTTTTTTTTTGTACATTAAATTTGATTTCTTTATTGACAGCACCCAGTTTATAAATTGTGCAATGAAAATCAAGACAGATTAATAATGGTCAGAGATTTTATCCGATGTTAACCTCCAGTAGAGCAACTCTGTGAGCCTACCATTTTGCTCTGACACGGGGCAACGGGTAAATAATTATTATAGCTCTTCATGTAACACGTGATTTTATGCATATGACGTATTAAGTGCATGAAAACATTCACCATTTTAATGATTAGATATCTCAGCGGTAAGATTTATTAAACAAATACATCAAAATTCTCATCATGTCTAATGAATCAGTATCTACAAAAAGTGTGGGGTTAGTTCTGTACAAGTTTTCACCAATATAATCAAATCATATGTGCAGATAATTTGGCAGATCGATTCTGAAAAAAAAAAATGAGCTGTTGGACTCTCATACGTAGAAAATGAAAACAGAGTCCTGTATTATATTAAAATAAATGTAAATATCTGACACGGTTCTGCAATTTCATCATTCCGTATTTCCAGGTTGGTTTGCTTTTATTAACACATTTAAATCGGTTCGAACGGGTGAGTTTCAAGACAAGTGCTGTCCCACAATTAATATGAGTGAGTGAACACACACACACACGCACTCGTGCACACACGTGCGCGCGCGCACACACACACGCACGCACGCACGCACGCACGCACGGACACAGACACACACGCGTACACACGTGCACACACACATGCGCGCGCGCACATACACACACACACACACATATATATATATTAAGGTATGCTGTATTTATGGGTTAAAGAGCTCAGTATCAGGGATAGAGCATATGTATATATAAAAGCATATGTATATATTGAGGTCAATGAATGTTGACATCTTTCTCCACTATATATATATATATATATATATATATATATATATATATATATATATATATATATATATATATATAGGATGGATAAATTGTTGTGATCATGTAAGGCGTGATGTGGTCGCTGAAATTGTCTGACAGCCATGACTGGGTTCTCCTGCTCGTGTGCCATGGTACAGAGTCCTGTTGGCAGACAGAGGCTCTTCCAGCAGCCACCCTCTTGACCCAGGGCGACACTATCTCCTTTCTGGTGCGATTTACTCCAATTAATTGTTGCAAATGACATCAATTTGGACTAATGCGAATCCCAACGTTTCCAAAAAATACCATGATGTCACGAACAAAATCAGTTGTTGATAATGACTAAGATGGCCGAAATTACCTTAACAATAAACAGGTAAAAACATAAACGTTCGACAATTTATTCACAGTGTTTATGTCGATGTGCAATAACTTCTTGGAAAATTGGGAAAAATGAAAAAAAAATATTAAGCAGTAAAGTTCAGATGTTTGAGAGCCGCAAGACATGAACAAAATTTACACAGACGTTTTTGTTACAGACACATTAACATCAAATTTACGTTTTAATCCAATGGCATCTCAATTAATACCCAATAAATAATTATAAAGCTTGAAATGTTTCTTATTTACCTTTTCTATAAACTGTGATGAAAATGGAACCCAATCAACATATTTCCACGAGCCGCATTTTAAAGGTCAAAGTGTCACATGTGGCTTGCGAGCAGAGATTATCCCTCACCTCTGATCTAGAACATGCTATTAAGTAATTAATAAGCGTTGATTCGTATGACGTAAAGATGTAATATAGGCCCAATTAACGATCAGACATATTCCTTTATCGGTTCCATATTCTTTCAGGACGTAGGTGATCATGGCTCTCCACCCTTTTCCTTTTCTTTATTATCTGTGAATTGCCATGATGTCTTGAGAAAGATAGCAGAATGATTTTCCGTTTCTGTTTTGAATTCAGACCTGTTGTTATAGGTTGGCTGTCCCTCAAGGCTAGAGAGTTCAGTCTACCCTGCTGTTTAACCCATAGTTGGAGGGATAAGTGAGCGATTCCTGCCTTTTCACGCTTTTTCATTCAGAGTTTGTTCTTGATTGGTGTCCGATTAAGGTTGTCGTGTTCAGTCTACCCTGCTATTTATCTCTTAACTGTCTTCTTCAGAGTTCTTGCTCTAGACTGGCTTCCATCCAAGGCTAGACTTTGGTTTAATGTGTTAATTAACCCATAGTTGGAAGGAGAATTCAGAATTGTTCAGAACTGTTTTTCTCGACTGGCTGTCATCAAAGGCTAGAGGGATCATTCTTCCCTGTTATTTAACGTATAGCTGGAGTTTCATGCCATCTCAATATTTTTGCATTCAGAGTTGTTTTTGATTCTGCTACTTAGCACATAGCTGGAGTTTCAAGAGTTCGTTTCCTGCCTTTTCCAGATGCCCTAGTGCGAAAGTAAACGCAACTAACCAGGCCGGAATTTGAACCCTTCGAGATGATTCTACTCACCAGTTAACCATTCACTATCTATATATACACTCTTTTGCAAATTAATTGAAACAACCGTTTTAATTTCCTTTCTTTCACTTTACGGTCAGTTTTAGACCCACTAGAGTGACAGGGTGTAATCGATTTTTATTTTTTTCTCAGATTAGGCCATTTGCAGTGGTGTGCAATAATATGAATTTATTTTTGGAGTGAATGATGAAATTTATTTAGCCTTGAAAAATATTACGTCATCCGTGATTGCATCAAATTTTTATCACCTCCAGACACTATTGTCTAGACTGTCGATTAGTTGTCCTATGACTATTGTCTGCACTGGACGTTACTCTAAGTAAATAGTGACGGAATTATTCGTTTTGTTTCAATTAATTTGCTCATGGTTGTACGACGATCAAGCCGAAATAAAATATTGCAACACCGGTTTGCTAATTATCGCTTATCGGCCTTCAGCTATTTACCAAGTTTATCATCGACTGACACAAGGCCAGCACCAAAAGAGAACTGAACGCAACTCGTGAATTTTTTGGCAAGAAGAAATTGATGATAATTGTTTCATATCTGCTTCCTAAATATTTCATTTTTACTCCTTATACACTCTGCAGAAGGGTGTAAGGCGTAAAAATCAATCAGTAAGGTAAAGTTTGTAAATATTTAAGCCAAAATATATTGTAAGAAATGTTTAGATAAGAATGGTTTAGTGCTACAAATCTTACTAATTAACCCGTTGCTGAGGGAGGGAAGGTTGGATTAATATTTTTCCCGAGGATTTTTGCATGTAAATGAATGTAACGAACCCAATTGGAACTCGCTTCTCTGATTAACAATTCCGAGTTATTATCCGTTTACACCACCCTCACATCCAAGCTTACAGCAACTAGTCTTTCTAATAGGTTATCCATCTAGGTACTGACTAGGCTCGACGTTGCTTAACTTCAGTGATCGTACAGGAACCGGTCTTTCACCGTGATGTGTCCGTAAGCCAAAGTTTAGCTTAGTCTGGCACAAGGTCGCATATGTGGAAGACTAAAAAAAAAAAAAACAAACCAAAGGACGGGACTAAATCTTGTGTCGTAATAGGGAGTCTTTTCTTCTGCGTTCCCAGTGAAAGATAAGTTGAGCATTTTTTGAGAAATAAGGAAGGAGATGACAAAATGTTTAAGGATTGTCAAATATTTTATTCGAATCCTAGAAATTAAAACTATTTTCTTTTTGTGGGCGTTTTCGTCTTCCATTAATTGTGGTGAATAATTATACCTCAGAATGGTTGCATTTAATGGAGTTTTAAGATTAGACATAGCAATAGTAGTATTGGCATTAATGTTCGATAGAGTAACATTAATAGTTGTACTATGAAGTCTGTTATTAATGGTCATTAAAATTAACTTTGCAATGAAGGAGTCAAAACGTTGAGTTGTAATCATGACTGGCACAAAATAGCTTCCCTAGTTACAATTCCATAAGATTTTACAATAGTCTCTTGTTTTCTTTCTTGTTTTCTTTCTTTTTTCTTTCTTTTCTATGTTTTTTCCTTTCGGATTTTTGTTTTCTTTTTTGTTTTTAAATGTTTTATTGCTTTTTTTTTCGGCACTTTTCTTATATTCTTTTTTTATTTATTGATTTTTAATAGATTCTTTCTTAATTCATTTGTGTGTTTGTTTGTTTCTTTCTTTCTTTCTTTGTTTCTTTCTTTCTTTCTTTCTTTCTTTCTTTCTTTCTTTCTTTCTTTCTTCCATTCTTTCTTTTTTTATTTCACCGCTACTTTTTCTCTTCTTCTTTCTTTCTTTCTTTTTTTGTCTTAGTTTGTTCCTTTCATTTTTTTCTTTATTTCTTTTTTTTTGTTTTTGACTTTAACTTTTCCTTCACTATTTCTTACTTTGTTCATTGTTTCTTTCTTTCTTTCTTTCTTTCTTTCTTTCTTTCTTTCTTTTTTTGGGGAGTGGTACATTGTTTTCTTCCTTGGGAAATATTCTTTGACTTTGCCTTAAATTTTCCCTATTTCATTTTGCTTTTCCTCCTTTATTTTCATATTTTCTTTTTTTCTTCTTGCCTCATAATCCTCGTCATATAACCACTGATCAGATGAAGGAGTAATTCATGGCAAAAAAACAAAACAAAAAAAAAACAAAAACAACAAAAAACAAGAGATAGGCTTATAAAGAAAGGTAGGGAGAACATCCCATACTAGATTATTCGGACTATTGTCCTCATCTTTGTCACCATATTTATTACAACGTTTCGGCCGTTGTACGCTCCGGCCTTCTTCAGGCGGTTTCAATATCGAACTGAACCCTTTATTTTACTCACTGGGGTAGACTGTTCTAGTTCCACATGCCGTGTGTAATGGATGTCAGTTATCTGTTAATTTCCCTCTCCAAGTTCTTCACTACCTTAACCGGGTATTGAACTCACACTGTTTGGGTCCTGTCACTGGATCTAAACAACGCCTTTATCCACTGTGCCATGTGTCCTTGATTTGACAAACATGAAGACAATAGTCCGAATAATGTAAATAATATACATAATACCTCATTTCAGAAATATAGACAGATATAGCAGTGAATGTTGGACAATTTCATCAGCGATGAAAGAGACCAGAGGGAACAGCTATGTTGCTCTACAGAAGGATGTTGAGAATAACATGGACGGAGTGTGTAGGTAACGAGAAAACCTTAAGGAAAATGAAAACAAAAAGGATATATATTCAGAAGAAGGCTTGGAAAATTGAACACTCACAAGGTATATCGAAGGAAGGACAGGGTTGACAATGTGTCACCTACCTAACAAGCTTATATGAATGGATGACCCAACGAGGCATGGTAGAGAGACAAACATTACTAAGAGCTGTACAGGATAGGAAGCTGGGGAGAGCCATAATCACCCACGACCTGAATGGACACGGCGCATAGAAGTAGAAAAAGAAAAAAATCTTGTAAATATGTCTCAAAGACAAACGCTCAAATGCAGACGTTCATTTCCGTACGTTCCCGAAGAACCAATTTTCTGAGAGTTCTCCTCTGAATGTTTATAAATTACATATTACAGTTGGTTATTTTCAAACGAAGAAACAGCTGACTAAACTTCAAGGTCCTTGTAAGATTTCTTTAACAATGAAAAAAAATTGTGCTGAACAATTTTGAATCACTATTTGCTTAGTCTAAAAGTTCATTCGATTTTGTGGGTAACTGGCATGAGATTAGTTTATAGTAGGCAATCGTGGCTCTCCACAATTTCCTCTCCTTTATAGCTCTTAGTAAATATTGTTTTTTCGCTATCTCTCCTAAACCTTGTTCTCCTTACCATTTACGCAAGTTCGTCTGAAAGTAGACAGTGTTGGCATTTTAGAAGTGGTCTCACTTTGTCCGAATTTAAAATTTTCTCAAATTATATTCATTTTAAATTCATCAAAACTTGTCAATGTATAATCCTTTGTTTTTCAGATGATTACTTGGAGAGTTACTTTTTCCACCTCTTTTTGTTAGAAAAGTCTTTGCAATCAGGCTCAACTGATTGTTATAAGATATAAAAAGGTTTAAATTAAGATGAAACTCAACAGACAAACATAAATTCCTCGCATCAATGCACGGAGTTAAAAGAGAAAATAGATTTATTGTTCCAAGTGAAGTTACAGTTGGTTTGGTTTGGTTTATTTTGTTTTACGGCATATCAACCTCAATGGGTTATTTAATGCCGACAACATTTTTAGGATAGATTCGTATGAATAGAATATGTATTCTTTGGTTTAGATTGGTTTGGTTTATTTTGTTTTATGGATTATCAAACTCAATGACAAAAATTTTTATTGCTGGTAATATTTTGTTTTGTCAAGAATCTGTTTCTGGTAATATATAATATATTCCCTCCAAAATTGTATTGCTGGTAATAATGTTTTCAAAAAAGTATTGCTGGTAATAGATAACTATTTGCCCATAGCTGGAACCCTAACAAGTGCTACCACCCCGGGTCAGGATGCACATGGAACACCAGCAATTAAGAGGTGGTTCCATGCTCCTCAAAACCTCCTGATCAGAGGCCTTGCTGCTGGACGTAGTTTAACGTCTTACCCAGGACGCGGATGTAGTTTAACGTCTTATCCAGGACGCTAAGTTATACTTGCTGAGCCCACCCGTGAAAAAGAAAAAGAAGAAAAAACAAACTTAAAATTGATTTCACCAAGGAGTTGAAAGAAACAGTTCTTAAAGAACTGATTGATTAAAATTTAAATGGGAATGAATTACTCTTCATCTGATCTGTGGTCACATGACGTGAATGACGAGGCATGAAGAAAGGTAGAAAATATGAAAAATAAAAAGAGAAGGAAATAAAGTAAAATTTAAGGAAAAAGAATATTGCCCAAGAAAGAAATAAAAAAAGCAACAGCAAAAAGAAACAAGAAAGAGACTCCAGTATAATATTTGACTTAATTTTATTACTGAGAAGTGTAATCTCCCATTCCTAAGTTTCAGAAATTCACAATGAGCACACAAGCAGACATTTGATATTTTTTTTTAACATTTCCTAAGTGATATGTGGTCTATCTTATTTGAGGATTTCAGAACTAGACTCACATTGCCCTAATTCAGAGGATTTGTTCGTTTAAATTACATTAAATCACGCACATTTTTACTGATTTGTTTGCTGGATAGTTGCATTTTCTGTCTCACTTTATTAGGAAAGTCGTTGAAATCTTTTTAAAATGAATGTTATAAGTGATAGACCGGTTTAACGACAATCTTTTTCTTTTTTTTTAAATGACCTATATCAAGTAGTTTTCGGAGTCCTAAAACACAAAATTCAGTGAAATACCCAGGAATTAATAGTGGTGCTGTCATAAATATTTTTTGTGATATGTGTGGATAATAGCAACGTCTCTTCATTCTGAGGCTACCAGGTTGTCAATTTTCTGGTTGCTATTCCCGACTGGGAGTTAGGAGCCCGAACCCTTGTGTAGCGTCTTGAGAGGCCACTCTGAGCAGCAGTTACATAATATCGGCGTTCTAGCAGTGTCATGTCACGCATGGAAGGGTGTTCCTGTATGCACATACAGTGGGCAACCCCGAGGCCACATTATGTTGCAACCTGCACCAGATCGTTTCTACCCATGTTACATTTAATGTGATTTTTAGCCCTCTAACTCATAAGCGAGCAAGACATATATAATTGGCGCTGAGGCGTTCTTGACTGCCAGTTTGGATTTCCAGTTGATTTTTCTAAGTGAAACTCTTTCTTTGTGATAATAATTTCTCTGGATGCCCGATGTTGATTGTCCTGATTTGGTTTGTTTGTGCTTTTTAATAGGAGTCCAAATCAACACTCGATTCATTTGTAGTACCTACACCTGATTTACCCAATAGGACTGAGGTTCTGCTGAGTGACGAGTGACGTCGAAATGTGTTCCTGAGCTGGCTCCAGTTCTCTCCAAATTCTACAACTATTGCCTCACTGCTTTCTGCTTTCCAGATTGGTGGAAGTCTCTGTTTTTAAGAACTCTGGAAAAGCTTCTGTCCAATCTAACTGTCTCCCTATTAGTCTCCTTCCGCTTTTTATCAAAGTCTTCCAGGCTTTAATCAATGCTGAAGTGGGTAAACATCTTACCTTTCAAGATCTTCTCTCTAACAAACAATATGGTTTCCGTTTGGCCAGCTCTACCGCTGATGTACTAACGGCCACTACTGAATACGTATATCAAGCTCTTGATAATAGGTGTAAAGCTCGAGCTGTGGCCTGAGATATCTCGAAGGCGTTTGACAGGGTTTGGCACGCTGGTCGTCTATTTAAACTCTAGGGCTACGGTATTACAGGATGATTTTTTGATTTGATCCAATTGTTCCCATTAGATCGTGAAATGATTGTCGTTTTGAACGGGATCGCTTCCTAATCCTTTTACACAAATGGGGGGGGGGTCTCATGTGGTTCTATCCTGGGTCCTACGCTGTTTCTGATCTTCATCAATTATCTCCCTGATGTCCTCAGTTCCCAA